TCAACCCATTCATTTCCTATGGCGGTCATTTTTGACCGGGAACACCACAGGTGTTACAAAGTTGACTAAACAACTCAAAATTCAATGAAAGTAGTGATCAGCAATTGTAAATGTTCAAATGCCTAGTGTGGAGGATATCATAAGCCCTTGAGACAATAAAATGTAAAACACAATATTTATGATTGATCGAAATGGAAATCGGTCAGATTTGACCCGAACACGACACAAAGGTTGCTACATTCTCAAACATCAAGTTGTGTTTTTTAAGTTAATAGTTTTTTTTATTCCCCCACCAAACAAACTCAGATGTAATGATGTGGTAAGCATATTTGCTACTAGTTTAGATTTTAAAAATAAACCAAACCCCCTTCATGTCATTGCTTATGTCAGTGTCAGGTAGCTAGCAGGTGGTCTAAATAACAGCTGGGTTGCTCACATTGTGGATCTTGTTGAACTTTTAATCAAATTGTATGATTATTTTATGTTAATATCTTAATAGCTGTAATTTTGAACCTTGGAATTAGAGCTACTCTGTCTGTCAGTCTGTGCCCTAAGTCTACTGTTGCACCGACAATGATAAACAGACAACATTGGGCAGTCCTGACCAAAACACCATGATCTCAACAGAGGGTAATGTCATTGTCATCTTTTAAATCCTGCATTGTCTGTGCAAATAAACTAGTTATTACCCTTTTGTTTCAAAGTTGGTTAGATTGTCAACACTTAATGTTTTCATGCTGCAGATGTTCTGATGAGGTTTCCTGGTTAGGAATTGCAACCGTGTGTCAGAGTGGTAAGATAATATGTCTGGAGTCAAAGCATCTCAGCTGGACTTTTGTAGAAACCAGCAAGAGCCCATTGGCAGTATAATTTAGTTCTCCAATCAAGCGTGATGCTGGGGTTTGACCTACTTTTTGTCTTTTGTATATCATACATCACTTGTAGAGTTTTTGTTGTTGGAACAACACTTTTCACAGGTGATACTTGTTTTTCTTATTGTTCTGTTTTCTATTGTTGTCCAGTTTTTCTCAGAATGTGAATATTTTGAAGGCTCTGGATGAATAACTAATTTTTAATGCTGGATATCTTTGGAGCCAAGCCTTGATAGATGGCCACAAGCCCAAAGTAAGGTCAAATAAATTTTTAGTCCATTGTTAAAGCTCACTTGCTTTTCTATAAACTAGTTCTTGGACACACCCCACAGTGGACAGCGAATATCTGAGGATCAAAGATGCAGTGTGGGTCAGTAAAAAAAAAAAACAATAAGATTTTGGTGTAGATAAATTTTTTCTCACCTATTTATTTTTTTGCATTGCAAGGTAGTATTATGTATGACATGATGGCAGCAGCAGAATGAAGCCAGAATTCTACAGAAACTTTTGTTGCCGCTTTACAGAAAAAAAAACAACTAATCTGAAGGAACTTCATAATGCAGCAATCCTGAATAGAATAATATGACTTTTAAAAAAAAAAAATCAAATTAAGATTCTTGTATTTCTTGACAACATCATATGCCCAATGACGCTAGTATTCAGTATTTCATTTAAAATTGTACCCAAATCAATGAAAACAATCAGCTGTTCAAGTCATGACAGTTTTCCAAGCCTGTATCTCCCATTTATACATGTGTGCTTGAAGTCAGTAGGCTGCAGTTGTTACTCTAATATGTGAATTATTCATTGTTGACATGTTGTAGTTACTGCTTGTCAACATTTATTGCTTGATAACATTAAACCAAGAAAATGGTTAGACATCTACACCAAACCCTTGATTTATACTGATTTCTAACTTAAGATGCATGAAAATATTAATTGCTTGATATAATTGGATTCTGTAATGGATTGTTATTTTATAAGATGACATACTGCATTCGTTTAAGAAAATGCTATAAAACCAAGCCCTAATAGTCATAACTTTAAATCCTGTGTTTTTCACTCCTCTGTCACAGTTTTCTCTTTGTAGCTGTGTCATTCATATAAATATTGGGTGAGATAATACGCACATTTGACAGCCTCTTCTGCAATAATTCAGCCTGTATACCCGACCAGAATAATAGTTTAATTCTATCTGGAATGAAATTAGCTTGCAATTATTTCCCTGCATTTATCTTCCAACTAACTTCTATCTGAACAGCAGGGCACCATGACGCTTAGCTGCTACAAGTTGTAGGCGAGGATGATTAGTGAGGAATATGAATGCATGGCAGACACTGGAATTTGATACAACTTAATCCAGGACACACAACAGTGATCATCATTTAACTAAATGTGTGTGAGTGAATTACACACAGACATTAATACCAACTTTGCAATGCATTTTGAATTTTTGACCAAAGCCATCAGATTTGGAGCTAAAGCAGTAATGCAGCTGCACATTTGTTACATCTCCAGTCCCTCTGTGGTCGAACAGTGATGTAGTCACACTCAGGCAATGTCATATTGGCTATTCCATCATAGGCACCCAATGCTCTCTGGACAGCCAAAGATAGCTCTCGTTTGACATTATTACAAACGTGTCAGCAAGTGTGATCCGCAGCACCATCTGCAGTGTGTGTGGAGCGCGACAGGGTCGTTATTTGTGGTGGAAACTGGACCACTGGGTTGGATGAGTCTTTGAAAATCCTGGTGTGATCATTTTTCCTGCTCTCTGTTTGATAACACAATGCTCAACTGATCCAGTAAGTGGGCTGAACCAGTGTTGTCCATTTTAAAAAAAATCACACAATGCACTTATCAGCACAAAGGGACATCAATTTTATAAATGGATAACAAGCTCAAAGTGTTTCCACCTTCTGCAGCCTCACATCCATACTCCCATGCCTTTGCTTTCTTTTTCTGGGGAGAGAAACTATCTTGCTTCTCTCTACCATTTTCTCCGTGTTTGAGAGTTAGTGACAGGCAGTTGTATGATAATCATCAATTGAATAATGTGAAAGTGGGACACTGAGTGGATTCTGACATTCTGTTCAGCTCACGATTGAAATCCCTAATTCAACGGACTCAATCTCCCCAAATTAGTTATTATATATATAAATGTATAAATCAAAATCATCCATTAACTGTGAAGAGTACTGTATCTGTGGTTAGCCTGTCATTCTTTCATGTTAACCCTTAATATGTGTCTGTCTGTCCTCACTCCACAGTATTGACAAAGTGTCCAAGGTGGCATCTCCAGTGCTGGTGATCCATGGTACGGAGGACGAGGTCATCGACTTCTCTCACGGTCTGGCCATGTACGAGCGTTGCCCCCGTGCTGTTGAGCCCTTGTGGGTGGAGGGAGCTGGCCACAACGACATCGAACTGTACGCCCAGTACCTGGAGAGACTCAAGCAGTTCATCTCCTTCGAGCTTTCCACTTCCTGAGGGGAGCTCAGCCTTCAGGCTGGGATTCATCTCACCACAATCAAGAAGCCTCCTCCTTATCACCTCCCAGCTCCCATTGTTGGCAAAGGGCTGGAGCAACTTCATCACACTGTGCTCCTCTGTCCCTGAAGCTGTTTCATGCTGGTAACATGTTGTACACCGGAAGAGGAGATCCTTTTAAATTGTTGAGGTGCAGCTGAGCTAAAGACCAGTCCCAGCAAGATGTACAGCTTTGGCTTTAAATTTAGTGCTCCTTCATGTGGACCCGGCCTACCAATGAGCCCAGGCTTAGACACTGTTTGCACTCCACTGCAGCTCTCGGCCCCCCTCCCTTATTTAGTGTCTCTCAGTGTGAGCGCCACTTTGTCACATTTCCTTTTTCTCTCCCACTGCTTTTCCCATGATCCCTTGCTTTCCTTTTGACTGAGAGTCTTTGCAATGTTCAAGCTTGATTTTTTTGTATTCTTTTATACCAGGTGAAGAAGTATCAATTTTGCACCAAGTAATACAAATTGAAGTTTTGTACTTTTTATGTATTTTTAAGTTGCCATTCAGGGTTGATTATACAGTTGCACTTTTAAGGTGCTGACATTTTCAGGTAATGATTTTTTTCTGTCTTTTGAAGATGTTTATATGGATTTCTTTATTGGCATTCCATGTTTTTCTCAACTTCAATTGGTTTGTTTTCTTGTTTTTTTCCAGACGTGTGTATAAAAGCTGTTAACCAGAGTGCATCCCTGCGCATCTGGCCTTTTATAGCTGTGATCTTTTGTGGTCCCTGGTGCATGCAACACCTGGCGTATAGGGGAAAGATTGCACCAAACTCCATTGAGAAATATAACATTTCACAACATGCCTTGCTTATTAGAACACACACACACTTTGACGATTCTGGTAACGATTTTATCAAACTATGTTGGGGGTATTTAAAGATCCTCACATCTCTGGACCATTTGACATATTGGTATCAAATTGTATGTCGTGTCACGGCAAGTGTGTGCAACTGCCAGTAAGCAACGCAGCAATGAACATCCCCGATGTTGGGTAATGTAGACGTTTACCTCAATAGAAGAGAGAGCAACATGTATCAGGGCTGCAGGTCTGTTAACTGGACATGTGCTAATGAGACTTGACAACTGTTTCCAACGGGAACACACTTGACTCAAAACTGTAAATTGAAGCCAGGCAGCATGGTGCTGGGTTTACCTGCGGACTAAAGACACTGAACTGTGAACCCTACACTAACGTATTCAAGGTGCACGTGCTGCTGGATTTGGATGTGTTTCTAACTTATCAGTCATTTCACACTACAAGTAAAGCCTTACGTTTCGTACACATTTCACCTAGACATTTCTGGCCTCTCGTGGGACTGATAACTGCTGCTATTCATTAGAAGAATCAATCAGTCGCTCATATGATAGCCAGACACTGTGTGCAAGTGTGTGTTGGGGGGGGGGGGGTACTGACATGACAGCGTGGTACTAAAACCAAATTCAGCCTGACCATCATCGTCCCTTCGGTCCCCCATGTGTTCCCTCCTGTAGTGGGAGCTCTGAATGCCCCTCTTTTACAAACACTGTTGTCTTCTGAGCCTTGTGACAGTCTGGAGAAGAAGCTGGGACAAGAACAAAGACCACTGAGAGATGTATGAAGATGAAATTAAATATTGATCACATTTGACAGTTGTGGACATTACAACTTGTATTTGAATGATTTGTTCTTTTCCTCAAACAAATGGGGGGGGGAAAAAAGAAGTATAACACTAAAGGATGAAGTTTAAATCACACCAAAAAATAAGTGAAACACTATCACATTGAAGAATAAGCTGAAATGTCTTCAGAGGTAAGTTTATTTTTGAAGCAACCTGTGATGATTGTTGACTGATCTGTGTATTGCTGTGAAGTGGTTTGTCAGTCGGGTGTTCATGTTTTCTGGATAATGAGCCTTTCATCATCTCTAGTGTATTTCTTCTAGCTCGTCTTTTTAAAGGAAAGAAACACCCTGATCATTCTTTTGATACTGACATTTTTACAAAGGCTTCCCAGTCTAAATGTTGATAGATTTACACTGTCTGAAGCCAGTTTGTATGATAATCCTCTGTAATGGATAATTCAATATCTTCTCTATACATATTAGCCCTTACATAGGGCAGTCTAGTCTCATTGATTTTAACACTGGATTCAAGATATGCAAATAAGACAGATGATGCTTGTAGAATCAGATTTTGTAATGATGTGTAAAATTTAAAAAAGATAAGCCTTAAATATACCATGGAACAGATTGTTATACATGTGATAGTCGTTGCCAGAAGGCGGCACAATGGATGTTTTAATGCTAATAATGGAATAAAGGATGCATGAAAGTATGTGTGACCTTATTGTTCCACTGCGTTTATACAGTCAGCCTTTATTATGACCTGTCCTTACTTTCCAGAGGCTTGGTTCACTCTATAGGAACTGGCTCATTTACAATGTGCAGTTTCACCTGAAGCATCTGTGTCTGTATGAAACTGAAAAGTCCTCCCTGCTCACTATTGATTCCTCAGCCTGATTCCATGTCAGTCATTCAGTTTATCTGGTCTGGACCACGTTAGAAATCATACTGTTTGTCACATTCACAGTTCACAAATAACCAATTATAATAACATTTCTGGGTTAAGTTTGGCTCCCTGTTCAATGTTGCTCAACAAAACATTGAATCCACTAAAAGCTCACGCATCTTAAATTAACATAGTGCCTCAAAATTCTCATCTAACTTTTCCACTGGTCTTCTTGACCATAATCCTTATGAGTCATCAGATCCAAAACTTTAATTAATGGCTTCTATAATACCTGTCAAATCACACTGGATATTAGAGCCCCCATTAAAACAAGAATGAAATCACTTGTAACACCTCTCCATGGGTTGATGACAGAGAACTTAAAAGACTGTGCAGAAAAAACGAACAGAAGTGGGAAAAGACCAAACTTCATGTCCACTACTTACATATGAAAGACCTCTTAACTTCTTATTACAAAAGTAAAACTGCAAGAGCTAACTATTTCTCCAAACTAATCATGAGTGATCACCATAATCCCAGATTCCTTTTTAAAACCATCAATAGATTGATAAACCCTGCTCCTTCTGCCCTTCTGACCACTTCACAAAGTGAAAAAGTTTTTATCTTTCTTTATGCAAAAAATTCCATTACATGCTCACATTAGGAAATGTCATCAAACACTATAATGGGATATCATATCATTCCTATGCTGATGACACCCAAATATACTTGTCCTTCAAGCCAGACAACGTTAGCCGTGTGAGTGTCCTAGAAGAGTGGCTATCCACCATTAAAGAATGGATGTCACTTAACTTTCCTCAGTTAAACTCAATACATGCCTCAGCCAATCCCTGGTAACTCGTTTGCAGCTTGTTCAGAACACTGCTGCTCGTATTTTAACAAATACAAACCGTAGGGCTCATATCTCGCCAATTCTTGCATCCCTTCATTGGTTACCAGTTAAATTCAGGATTGATTTTAAGATTCTTTTAATAACTTTAATGACTAACATGCAACGTGTAATTACTTTCTACAAAAATGAGACTTGTAGAGTTCATGTATGATGTTCTTGAGGTCCCTCTCCCTTCTCCTGACCCCACCACCCCGTCTCTCTCGCTATTCTCCCCCCTCATTGCCACCCAACCCATCCTCTTTCCCCATTTTTCTCCGCTCACCCCAACCGGTCGAGGCAGCCGCCCCCACTGAGCCTGGTTCTGCCAGAGGTTTCTCCCAGTTAAAGAGGGAGTTTTTCCTCTCCGCAGTCGCCACAGGGCTCGATCATTGTGGGAACTGTTGGGTTTAATATGACGGCTTCTGACTCTGCTACCTATGAGAGTAGGTATTTAGTTCAATCTAGTTTAAAAATAAATTAATAAATAAATAGAATAAAAAAGGCACAGAGGTAATGACGTCTGATTTACTGAGCGGGCCACATGGGTTTCATAGCACTGCCATACCAGCCAGTAGCCAGTCAGATTTACCTTTAGCCTCTCTCAATGTTATTCTGTTTAATAGGCTGAAACACCTGATGACACCAAGGTACAATTGAAGTCATTATTTTCATTACAACAACCAGTCTTACAAAGGGCTCAAATGTGATGGTTAAACTGCTCCGTGGCCCAAATATGTGACTGAATTGAAAACCTTTTTATTAGAATTTATTCTTCTTCTAGCCATGGATTTCACTATTTTTCTTGTGAAGCACTGTGTAACTTTGTTAAGATAAGTGCTATACAAACACAGTTATTATTATATTATTTGCTTGTATTTGATTAAAATAATACAAACTATCGTATAGTAAAATCTTCTCACTGTAATTTGAGTCCGAAAATGATGTGATGATGAGTGTCATTAGGTAGTTAACTACTGAACACAATCGTCAATGAGGCTGCACTGCTTCCATTGTTGTATCACTGGCCAAAAAACATCACTCTTAGAGGTCAGGAATCAAATTTCAAATGATTGACTGGAACCAAGACAACAGTAGGCCTCCATTAAACAACCTTGCTGAGGTGTACAGGGACAGTAGTTATTTTAGAAGCTGCTTCTTTCAGGATTGCAGGTGAGGCTGATGCTCTTATGGAGTGTGGACACAGAAGACAAGTTATTTTTCACTTTAGGAAGGATTTTGCAACTGCTGCCTTATCTGTGTTAATGCTTGTGCCATTATGTTTGCTTTGCTTTGGTACTGCCATGTTTTTAGCTGCTACTATTTTGATGTATGACCCTTTGAATGCTTACTGTGATATGTCTTAATCCTGTTGGATGTTTTATTGTAGTTTGTGCACTTTAGAACCACTTCTGTCCTCATATTTCACAAGTTTGCAAAGCTTACATTCGGTTGACTTCCATGCATTGTACCCATTTGTTCCTGTGTGTGTGTGTGTGTGTGATACATTAGAGTGAGTGGATGGCAGCATGGAGTAAAGGGTTTGGTGAAGGAAGCTGATCTGTGGAACAAAAACCCCTCTGCAGGAGTGTGTGGGAGCTGAATGTCAGTGTGAGTTCACAGCAGCAGCTCTTCTGTGGGTTTCTGTCCTGCATCAGCTGTGGTTAGTTTCTAAGCTGCTTTCTGAGCTCTGCTGGAAGCGACATGCTGCTTCAAAATGCTCATTGCCTCCTCCTGTCACTGAAGACTGGCAGCAAACACAACTCACAATCTATGAAGCAGATTGTCATTAGGTTAAATCACGTTTTTACATGAAGTGAACTTGTTTTTCTTAAACAATGTTCAGCTGTATTTTGCAATTTGCATTTTTTGTATTCATCTTTCAGAACTCACGGTGGCAGACTAATAACACTTGGTAATGTAGAATTTTTCAATATTAAATATATTATTTAGTGTTCCTGGTCAAATGTGACTCTTCACAGAGAGTGAATGTGTAGGTTAGTAATGAAAGCAGAGAACTCAAATACACACAAACGCACCACATCCACCACACGTCTGCCAGACAAATCTCCCTTTCCATCCTGTCACGGAAACCAAACATTCTGAGCAAAAATATTATGAGAGGCAACACGAAAAGTTCTCACAGCCAGTCGCAGTCACACATTCACACTTACAACAGTTTCCTCTGTTTTCCCCCTCACACATGCAGCAGCTCAGATTCACTTGAATACTACACTGAGCTTTCAAGGCTTCGCTCTCTCATGTCACCCTGTGGCAGCAGACACAAGATGGTGGAAGAGGAAGATCTCTCTCTGTTTCATGACCCCAAATGAGAATGAGAATAATCAACCTGGTGAAGTGCCTGAGGACGATTGAGACATGGAAGTTGATATTTCAAATTGTGAGGATTGTGCACTGTAAAAATGTGGCGTTGTCATTTCTGTTATAGTTCAAAATTGTTTTGTTGACTTTTTCAGTACGTTCAATATTCTGTGACAGATAGCGTGTGGTGACTGCTTTACTGGCAGTAATAGTTTGACGTGTCATATTGTGTTGGTTGGAATGTGTAACATATGATTGTGTCTTGTCATATTGCTAATGACAGAAAACCTAATAAGCTGCTCATCCCAACACCACTATTACTAGTTTTTAACCAGCAGTTTATTCCTTCTTTATGTGTTTGAGTCCCTTGTGTAATGTCCAGAAAAACTAGCTAACTAATGGAGCTGCAGCAATTACATGGTCACGGCTGTCTAGTGTACCAGGTAGGCTGTATGCCTGCATGTCTTGTACTTAAATCCAGGTAGGGTGGAATTATTTTACACACAGTGATGTCATGTCGCTGGTGAGGTGTGCACACAAGTATGTTAATGCTTTTAGTGTCAGTCTGTGAGGAGTAAAGGCAGATGTCACATTTTCTAGAGGAAAAGCAAGAGGATAGAAACAGTGATGGATGGATGGCTCACAAATCCTTGGATTTTCTGTTCTGTTAATTGTAGTGTGCATGAGATCAGATGATGTTCTTCCGGAAGGTGTGACCAACAGACTCACAGGCTGTGGTTCTCTGCAGATCAGAGGTCAGTTGTCTGTTGTTCACATGGGCTGTGTGTCCGCTACTGGTGGCGGAGCTTCTGGTGGCGGAGCTTCTGGTGTATCTACTGTATTCCTTCAATACAAGTCTGATTATGTACTAAAGTGAATGTTAGGACACCACAGTATGAAGACGTACATCTTCCAGTCTGTTGATGACAATCAAAGCCCTGTTACAACAAAACATGTTGTTGCACTGAAGCTAAATGTTGTGCATTGAACAGATGCTGTAAATATGAATTGATATTAATGTGTAAAGTTGCACAACTGCCTCTCTCTGTGTACATTCAGCCTTTAACGGAAATTCCCCAAATAATAAATATGACCCTCCTAAGTGGGTTTTTTGGAAGAAGAATTAAAAAGTGATCTTGGTTGGCCACCACTGATTTAGGTGATCCTCTGTGTACACAGATAAGCTTTAGTAAATGTGTCAGTGTACAAATATGATATCAGCACATTTGTTCATTTTATTTTATAGATTCATATATTGGTTCTGCTTCCACCCTCTGATCCGGACAAATGTGCAAATAAAATCATGGTAACTATATTTATCAGTGGTAATGTATTTTGATTACAGACAAATATGACCACCATTAACTCGAGCATGCCACTGTGACCAGCTTTATCTGGTAAAGTGTAAACCATGCTGATAACTCCTGTGCTTAACTTAACTCATCTGCAGTGAGACCTAACTTTCGGCTTCTGCTTATATACGTATACATTTACCTTTTAAAGATGCATACTCATTAGCTTTGATTGGCTGAACTGACAAAAAATGCTGGCACTGCCAACTGCAACTCAAAAGGCTCATTTTGGTGTTTTCCATTTCTCCAGTGGGAGGGGAGGC